ACAATCCTATCTCAGCTATCGAACCTGCAGCATTCTTAGACCTGATATCGGTACAATACTTTTCAATGCTAAATATGAATCTGACAGAAATCCCTCTAGCTTTAGCTATGCTGAGCTCAAATACACTCCTTGGAATCACTACCACTCAGCCATTGTCCTGCCCTTGTCCAGCTCCACAGGGACTAGTTAAATGGTATTCTTCCTTTGGATACATTTCAAACCTCCCAGAATTGTGTAGCAATGGACAGCTAACTAGCTCCTATCTCCGTGGTCAGTGTGGATAGCCATCATTCAAATCTTTACATAGTGTGTCCACTGGCCCTCTTGGCAACAGTAAAACACATACATTATCAGTCTTTGAAACATCAAAAGAATTTGTATATTCTTTTTTTTTTCCCCTTCCGACCTACCGTCCTATAGTGAAGCATGGGCTGCCAGGTAGCTCTCGTCAAGTCACCATATTCTTTGCTATAACGTCGAGGTTGCCCCATGTCTTCCACATATTTTTCACGGCACTCATTTCTATTTACTTCCTATTTAGTGCCTTTTAGATAGCCAATTAGTTACTGGATATAGTTTATTAGCAGAGACTCTATATTACCCCATCATCCCGCCCCATTTAAACCCAACCCCACCATAATCACTCCAGCCCTTCCCCCCCCCCCAACCACAACCACCACCATTTGTTGACGGTTTCCCTCCCTTTTAGTGCAATTATATATATATATATATATATATATATATATATATATATATATATATATATATATATATATATATATTGTAATATTTCATATATATTAATATATTTATATGCAGGTCAGCCCCTTCTAATAATATTATTTACTATTATGCGAACAAACAAGGCACCCACCGATTGGTCTACAAAAAATATGTGTCTAGCCTCAACTGCCTGATGCCCCATTGGCCAGTAAAGGAACCGCTACTTACGTGAATTTTGTTGAATGTTGAATGTTGAATGTTGAATGTTGAATATTGAATGTTGAATGTTGAATGTTGAATGTTGATTTAGTAATCGACACCAGAGCATCGGGACACTCCCATAAGCGCTCCATCCCCATCCTCGACAGCAAGTGAATAGTTCCAGTTCCGATGGTACCAGTAACTGTCTGATTGTATATCCAACTCGCCCTTCCCCTGAATGTTGAGCGTCTGCCATATCTCCTGTCAACTCCTCGCAGCGCCACTCACCGTAGACCGTCCCCATCTTCAGCAGCAAGCCAAGAGTTCCTATTCCGATGGCGCCTGTAACTGTCTGATTGTATATCCGTCTCGCCCTTCCCCTGAATGTTGAGCGTCTGCCATGTCTCCTGTCAACTCCTCGCAGCGCCATTCTCCTCAAACCGTAATGATCTATCTGTGCCTCCGCTTTGTTTACTCGCTTCTGAAGGAACCTCACAGCAACTAGCTTGTTACTTTACTTGAACAAAATTAAAGCTTATTGAGGCACCTAGAGTACGCCTTGAAGTGAGAATAAACAATAGTATACTGTGCTGTCTGCCTTGTTTATCTGCCTTATCTTTGTTTATTTGTGTGTAGAAATTTAGAACTAGCGTGTAAAATGTATGTGTTAATTCCATTCAACAATATTATTTTACGATATCCTTGTTGAAAGTTGAATGTTGAATTAGGAGTCGACATAACAGCACTCAGGAGACCCCCATAGACACTCTGTACCCATCTTCAACAGCAAAGTATGAGTTTCAATTCCGATGGCAACAGTAACTGTCTGACTGTATATCCGTCTCGCCTTTCCCTTGAGTGTTGAGCTTCGGCCAGATCACCTTGTAGGTCGCCGCAGCGCTATTCTCCTCAGACCGTAATGTTCTATTTGTGCCGCACTGTTCTCTCGCTTCCAAAGGGCGCGCACATCTAGCAAACATAAATTCACCACTAACTGATGCAGAACCGGTCATTCTATCTGCAAGCTCGTTTCCCAACACACCAGTGTGGCCTGGAGAAAATATCCGAAGGTCACTAACTACACAGGAGCTCTGAAGCGATGCTAGCAACTCCTCACGGGACATGTCTGTCTCCGCTTTTCCAAATGTACTCTGTGAGTCAGTTACTTAAAAAAAAATAAGAATCAACTGATGCCAATTGTTTTCTTTAAACCACAAGTGTAGAGATTGTTTCGGAAATTAGTTCACGTGTGCAGCGATGAGTGATGATTACTTTAATAGCATATCCAATTAAAAATGTTTTTCAGGTAGCATATGGTTGGCTCATGCTGGAGATGACCATATGAGAAAGAAACGCATACGAACTGAGCTACATTTAAAGAAAGACTAGCTGTATCCAGCCACGCGGTACTGTGGCATAGTTTGGCTAAATGGAAAAGATAGAAAATAGAAATCGAATGTGTCTTATATAGTTATTGTCGCAATCAGGCATTGTCTGCGCAGATATGGAGACAGTTTTCAATGCCCCCCCCCCCCCCCCCCCCCCAATCCACCTACTACTCTCTCCCTCATCGATGTTTCTTGGGGGAAAAAGACAATAGAAATCGCTCGTGTCTGATATAGTTAATGTCGCAATCATTGTCTGCACAGATATAGACATAGTCTGGTTTGCCGAATTTAGAACCGGCAACATATAATTGTGTCTTTACATCAGTGGTCGTTTAAATGGTATTATTAGGACTGTAAAAAATGGTTATTTCGTTATTACATGATAAAGCTGTCTGTATTTTGTTTTAAGAGACGGAAGTAGAGCTTACTACGGTACCTGTAAATAATCAATTAAGTGATAAAAAACTAGAACAATGAAGGTAGCTTTAGTAACATATAAACATTAAGAAATGAAGACTTCAAAATCATGTGTTAAGCTCTTTAAGTTAATAATTTCTGTCATCACCCCCTCTTTTCCCCCATCCAATGACTACTGCTCTCTCCCTCTTCAAAGAATTTGAAAGTCATCACCTGACTGTATTTTCTTTAACTGACCTTGATATCCCTGTCCATTTGGACTAAAATGGGGAGCAGGAATTGTAATGAGTATTAAATGAGGCTAGTGTAATATTTACCACACCGTCCTCCAAGTACCAGTACAGCTAACACCACCACCACAATAACTAAAATAATGTCACTGCTATCTGTTTTACCATCGGAGTAGACAGGGATCGTGAGCCAGAAGATGTGGCACCGCATGGCTAGTGCTGTCGCCACGGTCTGGTCAGGTTAGGAAAACCCTCACTTTACCGGCGGTCTCCGGCATGAAAGCACTAAAGTGTAACCGCCCAACCACAACTACTACTACTACTTGCACTTTGAGTGGGCGAGGCAGTTACTGTGACTTAGAGCTATCTCAGTTAACAGTTTATGTTACAGCCCTCCCAATTCACCGACTACTATTTTCCTTATCGAAGTAGTTAGGAGAAAAAAAAAACAAGGGCAATTCAACGAAAACAGGAAAAGTACCCCACAATTACGAAATGAATCCTATGGTAAACAACACAGCCTAATTCCGACGCAATGTCAGACGAAATAATTAAATCAAAATGAAAATAAATGGAAATCTATAACAATTCAGCTTAACAATGTTATCGGAGAGTTTAAAATGAAATCATAAGTATGCGAAATGGTCAAATTTAATTATCAACTAGCTTTCCCACAAACCTGCAAATTTTTTTTTTTAGTATTTAGGGCCGCATGGCTAGTGCTGTTGCCACGACAGTGCGAATTGTACTTGCCCTCGGGTTGAAAAAAAAATTAAATGACGTACTGGGAATTCGAACCACAGAACCACTCCTCAAGAGCAACGAAAAAAGAAAAATAAAAAAAATAATTTAGTTGTGTGTCCCGACCACTGTGTCTCTATTTCAATACAACTCAAAACCGCTGGCAATTGTTTTCTCATAGACAGATTTTCCAGATATAAAATTCAAACATTATTGAAACGGCACAATAGAAATCGAACGTGTCTAACAAGGTTAATGTCGCAATCATTGTCTGCACAGACATAGAGATAGTCTTTGACCCCCCCCCCCCTTTTTTTCCTTTTCTCAAATTCACGGACTACTTTATAACTCATGGAAGGTTATTTGAAAAGAAAGAAAATAGAAATCTTGTCTTATATGGTTAATGGCGCAATCACTGCCTGCGCAGATATAGTGATAGTCTGGTTTGCTGTACCACGCCGGCGAATGGTGAAAGTCGTGCTTTCCGATTAAGGCCCATGCGCATTTACGAATTTGGCTTCAATTAAACGTCACTAAAATGCAAATATTTTCCTTAAAAATGTTGCTACCTGTTTCAAACCATGACAGGTAGAATCCCGGTAACTGGATCAAAACAAACATATCCTCAAAATTTCAGCTAAATCGGTTTAGTAGTTTCTGAGTCTATAGGTAATAAACAAACACACAAACATTAATTTTTATCGAGATAAAAGATTATCACAGTCCATGACGTATGCACTTCACAATTCAAAAAGGTTGTCCGTTCGGCTTTGTTGTTGCTCAGATCACATCCAATCAGCATGCAATTTGATGTTTTAAAAAGTTATGGTTACCTATTAACTGTTGGCGTGCTAATTTTATGCTTTGACTACGTGTCTGTTTTTTTCATATATGGTAAATATTGCTAGGTTCAAATCTAGATGTGTGTTTACATAAAATTTATTTCCTTACAGGGATGTTTTTATTAACTTTTGCATGCCATATTTCAATAACACGCTGACCAGTTACTGAGTTATAGATTTACACAAATTCTGGAACCCAATATAGATCTTCGCACACTTTATTATTTAATATTATTATTAATATTATTTTCAAAAGAATGCTGCTTCGAACAGTTATGAGGTTTTAGCTAATATCCTCCTCCACTACACGTAGCAAAATGGGAGGGTTGGTCGGTGTATGTATATGTTGGT